CTTTCCCACCGCGGCCCACCCCCAGGTGGTTATGGTATACAGTGCGCTGCCTACTGAGTGTGTATACGTCCCTGGGACCGGGGCTGAAAGCTGGGCTCTAGACTCGGCGCTGCCCTGAGTGACCGGGGAGACTTCAGGCGAGCCGCTTAATTAGCAGCTCAGAGCATCACAGACCTCGCCAGCACGGTGGTCAGGATGCGAGCTGCCTCCCTCATCCAGACGAATGAGGCAGGAGGCAGGAAAGCACTCAGAAGACTGCAAAGGAGTTTCACATAAAAGAGATACAATTAGCAAACAAACAGAGGAAACAATATCCGGCTTTGCATGTTACCCAGAAAATACAAATTAAAACAGTGAGGCAACATTCTGTACACACTGGATTAGCAGCACTGCTGCGGGCAGTACAATTAGACCCATCCTTCCAGAAGGCAATTTGGCAATAGGATGCAACAGCAATAAAAATGCTCACGCGGCTGACCCGGCAAGCCCTCTCCTGATAAAATCGCTCCTGCTCAGAAAGCTGAAGACCTGAGGGTGGTCACCATGGCGTTATCAGTAACAGCAAACACCAACCAAAGGCGGTGTTTAATATTAATGCATCCAGCACGGCGTGCGTGCCCAAGTGACTGCTGGGAGCTTTAGGGCGCAGGGCTTCTTTTGGAGGTGATCAAAAGATTTTTAAAATGGACTCTGGTGCAAGGTGCATGTCTATGAATGTCCTAAGAAAGTGGCATAGCCCCACCAGCGTGGCTCAGTGGTTGAGCGTCAACCTATGAACCAGGAGGTCCTGGTTCGATTCCCGGTCAGGGCACATGCCCGGGTTGCCAGGGGGCATGCAGGAGGCAGCCAATCAGTGATTCTCTCTCATCATTGATGCTTCTATCTCTCTCCCTCTCCCTTCCTCTCTGAAATCAATAAAAAGTATTTTTTTAAAAAAGAAACATGTATATTTTAAAGGGGTGAATTGTGTAGTGTGTGAATTAAACCTCAATCAAGTTGATTTTTAAAAAGGAAAAGCATTAATTATTCATGCACTTGGCAACATGTGAGTGCCAAGCGTGCCACTGGGTGACGGGATGGGACACAAGCAGGTGGACACCTGCCTCCAGGAGCTTGCAGCTTCCATGGGGAGTGGCGACTAAGTAAGTGATGGACATATGGGGATGACAAGTCCTCCAATAGGCACGTTTCACACTCAAGGGAGAACATTTCAGAGGAATCCAAGCTGTTCTAGGGCAACCAAGAAAGGCTGCCTAGAAAAAAGGAAGGGAGGTCTGGAGGAAGGTGGCACCAGGCAAGAACGAGCCCATGACCCAAGGGAAAAGGGACAAGTGCCAGGGATCAGGATGGCACCCTAAACTCTAAGGCCCAGCGAGGATTCCACCTGGACCGGCTGCCACGCAGGCACTGCGCCTCCATCATCGCCAGGCCACGGGGAGCTAGTCACTGGTCCTCAGCCAGAATTCCATACGGGACCCAGCAGCCAGAGAGCTCTCATGCGTAGCTGCTTGAAAAAACTGAGTCTGGAAGCACTCACCTTGATCCGACAGGAAGTCCAGCATGGTCTGCAGCAGAAAGGACAGGTGCCTGACGGACAGGGCGGGGTTCCCCATCCTCCGGGAGGCGTAGACCAGCTCGTGAAGCAGGCGCATCTGCACAGCAGCCCAGCCTCGGTGCGTGCCTGCCACCAAAGCCACACAAAGTCACAGATCAGAGGCAAGCAGCAGGACGGGCACGGGACTGGCACGTCTATATAATGTGTGAGCCTCGAGGGTCCAAACACAATGCCTCCACCGTCACACTCCCAGGGCAGCAGATGACGTTCCATTTATTTAGCTCAGAAGTGAACTCTACAGTGGTACTTTTTTCATGCATTACCTGGTTCATATTACACTTTCTTCTGTAAAGAGACAATTTTTTAAGTTAACCCATTTTGAAATAGTTATAACAAGGTTGAAAAAAGATTACATTTTCGACAGCATATACCAGTGTTGGGCATACTTCTTTTTTTTTTTTTTTCAACAGAATACTGATATTTGGTGGGTTTTGTTACCAACAACCAAGGACATGACATTCAAAAGCACAGTATTTCTCTGAAGTAGAACAAACGTACAGAAAAGCAGATAACTAGAAACAAGGTTATCAGCAAACTTTTGTGCCACCCCTCCAAAATGACTCAGTGTACATGACATTGGAGGTGGGAACTGTTGGCACAGCCAGTGAAAAGGATCTCTTTTTCTTTTTAATCCTTACTGGGGATATTTTTTCCATCTTTTTTTTTTTAGAGACTGGAAGGGAGGGGGAGAGACAGAGAGAGAAACATCAATGTGAGAGAGATACATTGATTGGCTGCCTCCTGCACTTGCCCTCTCGCCATCCAGAGCCAGGAATCAAGCCTGCAACTGAGGTACGTGCCCTTGACCAAAATTGAACCTGGGACCCGTCAGTCCCTGGGCCAATGCTCTAACCACTGAGCAACTGGCCAGGGCGTGGAAAGGACCTCTGTAAGATCACAGAACTTCAGACTGATTTATTCCATTCTCCTTTGGGCAACAACTACTAGTCTCAGGTTTTTTTTCACCTTCAAATCCCTCGTGAAGAAAATAGTGGTCCCAAGACCCAAACCGAATAGGTCACCCCACAGTGTGGTGTGCCCAGGCCAAGGGGCTTGTAGAAATTTGGGGGAAAGGGCTTAAGGCGCCAATCAGAGGTTCCTCCCTCACTGCCCCTAGCGGCCTCCTCACCCTCTGCCCTGCCCACACAGTGGACCAGTCCTGCTGTGTGTTCCCATGGCACCGCACACACAGTTCCACCGTGGGAGTTATCTGGCAGGTGCAGTGAGGCACCCGTAAACTCCCGTGTTTCTGTCTGTCCTTCCCTTCCCTGTGAACTAGGACTGTCTTACCCACCCGGGACCCGTGATGCCTGGCAGGAAGCTGGCACACAGCTGGTACTCAGCCAGCTTGGGAGTCGGATGGGACGCCTGCTGAGAGACATGCCCATTTTACGGACACACAGACACATGTGTGCAGGGGAAAAGGACATGATTTCTGGGACCGGCTGTAAAATACCTCAACAAAGGACAAATGGGGGGGAGGGGAGGCATAAACAAAGCAGACGTGGCCCAATGAGAGAAAGGCAAGTCCCTGGATTGTTTCCACGTTGTCAGCAGAAGCTAGAACCCAATGCTGACACAAAGCAAGCAGCTTTAAATATATTTTTTTATTAATTTCAGAGAGGCAGGGGGAGGGAGGGAGAGAGAGAGAAACATCAAGATGACAGAATCATTGATCGACTGCCTCCTGCACACCCCACACTGGGGATCAAGCCCACAACCTGGGCATGTGTCCTGACTAGAATCAAACCACGACCTCCTGGGTCATAGGTCAACACTCAATCACTGAGCCATATCCACCGAGCAAAACAAGCCACTTTAAAAAGGATTGAGACGCTGAAATTGATGTCGTGACTAACCTCGCCATAAATTCAAAATGATCCAATTTAAATAATCTCAACACCACTGTATGAAGGAGGCTTTCTTGCTTTAGAACTCGGCAAATATCATTTTGCTGATTTTCTTTTAAATAGATAATGATCCACTTCCTACCACAGGCAATTATGAGTAAGACTGAGTATAAATTTCCTTAATACTAAATAGTGTGTGAGTTGTCATTTCTGTGTGAGTCAAATTGCTTCTCCTATAAAAACTTAAATCTTTTCATTTTTAAGACAGATTTGCAACAGAGGACCCAGCAATAAAGTTTTCAACACTCTTGTATTTAGGAAGCTCACCAATGTGAGAGTTTATCACATCAACTCTGCCTTTCAGCAGTCCCCTGCCTTGCCTGTCTCCTTCCCAAGAGCTCCCGGGGAGATGTAATCCACCGCCCAGGAAAAGGCTGAGCCAAAGGACTGATCAAAAATCTCCACATACAGCCACACAAAGACCAAAATGCCAACGAGCCCCCGAGAGCTGGCAAACGCACGCGGCACACCTGTGCTGCTCTGTGGACTGTGCGGAAGCAGCGAGTGAAAACTCTCATTTCAAGAAATAGGTAGAAATACATTTCAGGTCCTGACAATCCAGTCCACCTTTTCTTCACAGGCTCGGGGCTTGAGCAGATCTCCTCTGAACGCTCGGAGAGAGGGCTGAAGTAGCCCAGGGCACCGCGGAGACAGGTGTGGAGGGATTCTGATTCCTTCTTATCAGCACATCCAGCTGACACTTACCCTCTTCCTTTATTTGATCTCCCGCGCCTACCATCTTGTCTTCCCGAATCTTTCACAAACTGATGGCGAGTGTCCCCTCCTGAGACGGAGGCTAAGGAAAAGGACCTGGGCACTGGGAGGTGTGCACATGTGCTTTGTTTTTCAAAAGAAACATGTTTCGTGCGGTGATTGCAGGAGGGGACGGGAGAGGGAACAGGAGGGATAAATGGTGCTGGCTGGACGGAGACTAGACTTGGGGTGAACACACCCACAGAGACAGGTGACGTGTTGTGGAATTATGCCCTGAAACCTGAATAATTTGGTTAATCAGTGTCACCCCAAAAAATGCAATGAAAAGGGGGGAGAAACACATTCCATTCACCTGATTCAAAAATTAGGTCAAGAAACAAACTCTACTCAGTAAATGTAAACGAACACATGGCATTGTAGCTGCTCATGAGGGGGCTCCCACGTTACACGTATGTGCGGGACACCTGCCCCGTGCTGGGCATGGTGAGAATCAGGGGTCTCGGCCTGACAGGCTCACAGGCTGGGGAGAGGCAGTGGGGAAAACGCCCCAATTTATTTGTAATGTATTTACGAGTTAGGGGAGGTGGACGGGAGCGGAAGCC